TAAAGGAAGACAGGAATTTAGCTAGTAGGATTTCTAAGAGGGTATTTCAGGTAGGGATAACAGCAGGCATAGAGAGGGTTGGAGGAATAAAGTAGGTTGGTGCTTGTGGGAGCAATGAAAAACATATGCAAATATTTTAGAAAATTTAAAAATATGCTTGAAACTCTACATTCAAGGAATGCATATTCTAAAATGATAAATCAAGAAGGTCAGAGAGAATGTAGACTGTACTAAAAAAATGGCAATTACAATTACAGCAATTTAAATTGAAAATGTAAATAAATAAAGTAAGTTAGACTACTGTCTAAAAAGGCATTATAACATGATTGTGAAAATCGCTCCTGGAATCAGATCAGGGCTAAATCCTGGCTCTTGGCTCCATCCCTCACTGACATCTTGATCTTGGGCAAAGTACTTAAATGTTTTGATCTTTGGTTTCCTCAACTGTTAAATGGCAATAGTAATAATATTTACTTCATAAAGGTTGTTAGAATGCTTTAATAAGGCAATATATGTAAAAATGCATTGGAGCTTAGGATACAGTGGATCCTCTATAGTTGGTGGCAGCAGAATGTAGTAGGCTCTGGATTAAGACTGTTTAGATTCAATTATTGGCTTCAACACTTACTAATTTGAGATCATAGGTAATTAACCTAACTATTCCAGGCCTTACTCCTTTTTTCTAAAAAGGAGATAACAGGAGTAATATACTATATCAGTTTTCTTTTTCTGTATAACAAATTACCACAAACTTAGCAGTTTAAAACAACACCAATTTATTAGCTCACAGTTCTGTAGGTCAGAAGTCCAGGTGGTCTTGGCTGGTTTTCAGATTTGGGTCACAGAAGGAGTAATCAAAGTTTTAATAGAAGGACATTTTGGATATTAAAGAAAAAGTTTTAGAAATAAAAAACAGTTTTAAAACACAAAATGATAAAAAAATTAATAGTAGTACTGAGTATAATTTGATCACATAATCTAAGATTCTACATCCAGTTTATTTATAATTATTCAATAATATAATTACTTTTATTCAGTGTTATTTGTTGCATGGCAAATTGAAAGATGAAGTTAAACTTTCTAGATAATTTAATGGGGGTAGAAGATAGAGAATAAAGATCATCAGCTATTTAGAAAGTTATTTTGAAATTCTATACTTGATTATTATCTTATTTACTATTACCGTCACCTTTCATCATCATCACTGTTTGCCCACTACTGGGCTAGGCTCTTTTGTGCTTATACTTACCAGTGTAAGTTTGGTACTATTACTAAATCTATTTTACAGATGAGAATACTGAGGCTTGGCAATTAACAGATTTTGATTGAGGTAAAGGAGTTATAGTGGTAGAGACAATATTCTGACTCAGGTATGTCCTGAATCCACCATATACTTGAATCCAGGTATGTTCCAGAATCTAAAACTCTACCCAATAAGAATAATTCTTGAAAATTGTCTTAGTCAGTTTGGGCGGTTATAACAAATTATGGCTGATTGGGTACCTTAAACAACAAATATTTATTTCTCACAGTTCTGGAGGCTGGGAAGTCCAAGATCAAGTCGCGAGCAGATTTGGTGTCTGATGAAGGCCCACTCCCGGCTTCCTGGTAAAGAAGATGGCTGTCTTCTTACTTCTTACTCCTCTGGTGTTTCTTCTTATAAGAGCACCCATTAATGAGGGCTTAACTCTCATGACGTAATTGCCTCCCAAAGGATCCACCTTCAAATAGGATCACATTAGAGATTTAGGCTCCAATATATGGATTTGGAGGGGACAGAAACATTCAGTCCAAAGCAAAAATCAATAAACTTTCTACAATTCTCCCCCTTTTTTCCTGCTACTTTATTCTGTTTTGTTTTAAAGCATTTTTTCCAAGTTATTTTCCTTGTAGCACTAAATCTTCAATATGTTAACAGGGGTTCTGAGCAAAAGCTTATCATAGTTTAAAAAAAAGAAAAATCTGCAAAATAGTGAATTAAACACTTTTGGAAAAGTATCTTAACCACAGGACTTTTCAAAGTATTTAATATGTTAACATTCACTGTGAATTTCCAAGAGGCTGCTTTAATATTCGATGTTTCCCAAAATTATTTGACCATGAAATTTTTTTTCCCCAGAAGCCTATTAGCATCTCGGGGAAAAGGAGGCCTGCAGAAAATAATTTGAGAAGTGCTGTCTTCAAGTGATGTATAGATTCATTTTTGGCACTTTGGGCACATATTTGGAGAAGCTATAAAACTGTAGGTCGGGTCATAGTGATTAGTAAAGGTCCCTTAGCACTTTATGTAGGGTAAAAGATTCATAACAGAGTTTTATCCTTTTACTTATTTTATTTTTTAAAATAATTCAATCTCTGTGTTCTTTAAATTTTCCTTATATCCCAATTCTGAAGAGGTTATATATGAGTTCAGTAAGAGTGAAATGAGTCTTATCAATGTAAATTAGGTAAAGTGCCTAGAATCTTCAAAATGAAAGGCTTATTGGTAGATGATCACTATCAATAAGTGCAAAAAAAGAGGGGATAATTATGGACATGGAGCTATGGATTTACGACAATGTATCGATTTTCAATTTTTGATTGGAAATGGGAGTTGCGAAAGTAGAGGTATTAAACTGGCAACGTATTTCACAAGTTGTCTACCAGGTAATACAGGATGGCATTTATTGTCCACACTCTGGGTATCTGGGCATAAAATATGCATTTTAATGCAGTTTTATGTCCTCTGGAATTTTTTAAAACCCTTCTTTAAATATAAAAAAAAAGATAAATGTTTAGTAACACACACGGTTGCCAAAAAATAATTTAACTTCCTAACATGCTTAAGATCATATATTACCAAAAAAGTGGAAATAACCAGGGAATAAAATAGGAAACTAGACAAAACTCTTAACCCACTCTTTTCCCTTAAATATCTCATCACAGAGAGACCAGTTTCTAATTTTACATGCTTTGGGATTTAATATTATCCTTTAGAAATAATACCTTAAAACTAAATTAGACATCTCATTTCAAATATTAGGGAAGTACTTTAGGACAAACATGCTACAGGCTGACTGAAATCATACTTTCGAAATTAAGTAACAATGATGTGCCAGAGAATTGGAATTTGATTGTTTGAAACCACTTTGCTACAACTCTGAACAACGCTGCCTTATTCTAACCTGTGGCTTTAAGCATAAAAATAGACAGTATATAAATGCATCTCCCCTTTTCTCTTAGCAAAGTGATTTTTAAAAACTGTATTTTTACCCTCCCACCAAACATGAGATCGGAATAAACTTTGTTCTGATAGTTCTTTTTTTTTTCTATTGTCGCTGTTGCTTTGCCAGTGATACATTTTAAGTTCTCCCTAGCAGTATTCAGTATTACTCTTCCATCTGCCTTGCACCTTGTTTTCACTTCAGATTCCAAAAGGAAGGTAGAAATTGAAGTTTAAAGGACTCAAGGAGGCACATGGAGATGAAGTTCCATGGATAATTGCCCTCTGTTATCCTTTTTTTCTTTTAAATTCTTCTTTCAACTTCTTGCCTTCAAGAATGTTTCTTCCAATTTCTCTGTGTCTGTATTTCTGTCTCTCTCCCTACCTCCCTCTCTAGGAAGAAAAAAAGAAAAAAAAAGAGCCCTGTTTCATTTTGGTACCTGCAACTGCTGGAATTGAATCCATGTACAGTAAGCAATCATTCTAACCGAAAAACAGAGGAGGAAGCACAACTGTAAGCCATGGGCTGTATTTTTGGTTCAATCACTTTCACTACAAAAAAAACAGTCCACTCATTTTGGTGGATAGCAGGAAAATTTGATCCACCTTAGTGATGCTTCAACAATCTGTCCTTGCCTTCTATTTTCTTGCACGGTCCCCAAACTCCACTATTTCTCATCTGAGACAGATGTCCTCCTTAACGAAATGTAGGTCTCCTACTCACTTTCACCCTTTTGCCCCTGTGAACAGATGAGCCCACAACCCTCCCTCCCCAGCCCTGGAGCTAACTAAAGTGCAGACAAAACAGCAGAGCAACCCTGTTCCAGCTGATTAGAGTCTGGCTGCTGACTAGGTTGCATTTCCTGTGAAATCCGGGACAATTCACTTTGAAGGGCTCTGTCTCTCAGGAAGCTTTGTGCCCCAAGAGCCACTTTTCAAAATCTAACTTCTTTTTCCTGGCTCTACTGAGAAAGGAAGTTCAGGGGAATCCTTAACGTGGTTATTTGCAAAGTCAAAGCTGGAAACCTAGAGCCTCTCAGACACCAAGGGTGCACCTCTTAACCCCAGAGTCTCCGGTGTACAAGCAACGTAGTAACTTCAGAGGTGGTGGCAGGTGCCAGGGTGTGGCTGCGGTTGTCTCCCTTTTCTCTTCCACCAGAAGGAGCCTCGAGAAAGAGAGAGAGAGAGAGAGAGAGAGAGAGAGAGAGAGAGAGAGAGAGAGAGGAGACCGGAGACCGGGGGAGGGAAAAGGAGGGAGGGTGAAGAGTGGAGGGCGGGGGGCGGAGGGGTGCGGACCGGCGCCGGGGGAGCTGGGAGCGCGCCTGCCAGGCTCAGGCTCACACGCACGCCGCCTCTGTTTGTACACAGTGCGCTCCCGGCCGCCCGCTCGCTCCCCTCCAGCTCACGCTTCATTGTTCTCCAAGTCAGAAGCCCCGCAGCCGCGGCGGGGAGAGCAGCGCGAGCCGAGCGCACCGTCCGCCGCTCAGCCGGTGGGTCTGCTGCCCGCGCGGGAGACCCGGCGCAGCTGCAGGAGCCCGCGCCCCGCCCGCCGCTCCTCGGCGGGGACACACTCGCAGCGGAGGCTGAGCCCGCGGCGGCTCCCCAGTGCTCACCCACCTCCGCGCGCCCGAGCGCAGGCAAGAGAAGAGATTCCTCTCTCCAGCCATCACTCTTTCTTGCCGGCTTCAAGAATTTGTTTCAGAAAGAGCTGCGGGAAGAAGACATCTTCTTGAATTCTTCAGCAGGGGCGGAGTCTACTACTGTCCTGCGGTGCCACCTCGGCTACACTGCCCTCAGCGACGACCCCTGACCAACCGAGGTCACGTCCGGGAGACGGGATCATGAAGCGCTTGGTAGCTACCTGGCTCTTGGTCGGGCTCAGCCTCGGTGTCCCCCAGTTCGGCAAAGGTGAGGCGACGGGGCCCGGGCCGCGGGGTGCGGGACGGGCCGGGAGTCCCCTGGGAAACGCTGCGTAGGGGGCCGGAGGCGGTCCCTGGGGCGTGCAAGGGTGGCGAGCGCCGCAGGCGGCGCGGAGGAGGCGGCGAGTCCTGGAAGCCCCAGGAAAGTGCTCGCAAAGTCTGAGCAGAGTGCGTGGGGCTGAGCCGGGAAGAGAGTGCGGGGTACCGGGGTGAGACCCGGGAAAGAGGAATGAGGGGAGGAGGTGGGGGACGGCGATTCGGGGAATCGGCGACTCCGGGGAGCACTTGGCCACCCAGTCGCCGGGCAAGCCCTCCCTGGGCAGTGCGGGCGATGCTGGCTGCGGACGCCTGGCGGGACTTCCGTGGGGGCCGGAGCGGGGAGAAGGAGCGCTCCCCGGGAGTCTTCTGGTCGATGTGGGAAGAGGCTGGAGAACAGCAGGGCCGTCCGCCCCCGGGGTGCGGTGTGCTCTGGAGCAGGGCCCAGGCTGAGCGGTTGGCAAACCCGAAACGGGCTCTGGGAGTTTTGGTGGCGGGCGAGGTGGAGTCGGGTCTGGCAGGTCACATCGACTTTCTTTCGCCTCCCTATCCCGGACGCGCAGCATGGATTACAGCAAACCCCGGGAACCCGCCTCTCCTTTAACCTCAGGAGACTGGAGCTTTGCTCTGCGCTCCCTCCCGGTAGCAGCGTAACTGTCGGTAAATAGAGAATAGTGCGGTGCAAGGCAATCCTCGCGCCCCCGCCCAGGAACTGAAAAGTTGTAAAAGCTGATCTGCTTGTACCTTCCATGACTTGCATTAAAAAAAAAAAGAAAGAAAAAAGAAAGAAGGGAAGAAAGAAAGGGAAAAGCCTTTAAAAAATGCAGGACTTCGATGAGTCTCCTGCCGAGTTGTTTGGGTGACTTCCAGGTACTCTGCGAGGTGTGGCTTGTCAATACGAGCCCTCGTCCGGACCCGGGTCTCGCTGCCGGCCAAGGCTTAAATTGGAGCCAGAAAAGGGCAGGGGAAGCGGCAGAGGCTCTGGGGAGGCATGTGAGAGCTGAGCGTGGATTTGGGGGAAGCCGGCCCCTCCCGGCTCACCGAGGCAGACGTCCCCTTCTAAGCGATCTGCGGGTAATAGAATCCTCAGCAGTCAGTTTCAAGTGTGGAAAGCTGAGTGCACTACAGGGTTTTAGATACTATGCCTCTAAAAAAAGGTAGTTGGATTAAAAAATGCGTTGACTCAAATCCATTTGAGATTGGACACTGCGTGAATATTCTACACCTTCCATCCGCGATCCTATCCATCCGTTTGTTTCAGAGGAAAACTGTGGACTGTAGGGCCACTGCTTTTGCCCAGGAAGCTGGGTCTTGCTGGTCAGATGCCCTCGCAGATCTGGCAGTAGAGATCCATGGCTGTGCCTTGCCTGGGCCTCCTTCTCTCCCCCAGAATGAGGCTATTTTCCCCAGCGTGTAGGCGTGTGTGTAGGTGTGTACCTCGCCTGCGTTTACGAAGTGCCCTTCCAGTTATCAGGCAGAGGCAGCCGCTCCACTGAAGGTTAAGAAATGGTAATGGTTCTTGTAGTTGCTCAGCCCAGTCCCCAGAGATAGGAAAAAAGAGAGTGCTCCCAGGGCCGATATTTTTCCTTTATCTTATATCCAGTCTGGATTCCTTCTGCACTTTGCCCCCTTAGCAGGAAGGGAAAGGAGGATTGCAGGCACTCCTCTCTCCTCTTTCCCTTTCTTGTCTCCGTTTTCAGCCCAAACACGAATGCACACTCACCCACTCACACGCACCTACACGGTGCCACCGTAGTCCCTGCTCTGCGGTGGAGGGCGGCGGGGGTGGAGGAGAAGACAGTGCATCTAGCATGTGTGGCGGAGCTAGCCTCGCTCCGTCTGGTTGCGGGAGCCCTGGTGCGCGGCGAGTCCCGGCTCGGCTCGCTGCAGACAGGAGCTCTGTCTCCTAAAGATACCCAACGCCGAGGGCGCCCCTTACTCAGCCAGACAAGCCAACCGTGGAGATGTCGCCTGGGCTTTCCATCCTGGTCCTCCTAGACAATGGTCGGGCAGCCGTATACTCTATATTCTTTAGCAGATTTCTCCTTTTTTTCAGCCAGCCTGAGGGGAGAGGGAGAGGGCTTTAGGAAAGAAATGGACCATTTTGCATTAGTTCTTTTTGTTTAAACTTGCACCTCTCTAATTTTTTCTTCCTCACCTCTGCAGATGGCAGAGTGTAGCTTGCGTGACAGCTCCAGACAATTAAACTTTGGGAAAACTTATTGAAGCCAGTGTCAACACTGAAAATTTTCCAGGCACTCCTTCCCTCCACCCCCATGATTTATCTGACGTATGTCTTTTAGAAATTAGTGTTTTCCTTATGTGTGGGTTGCCATTTGCTTGCATTGATGCCTGGGATTTGATAAGGATATGTAACTTCCTTTATTAGTCGTCTTTATTTTAAAATTAAACCAATGGATCAGTCAGATTGAATATTTTATTAACTCTTAAATTATTCATGGTTATGGGTTTGCTCTAAAAAATTCAATAACATGCATACAGTTGCAGCAAACACGTGACATCTTATGCAATCTGTCCCTGTGCCTGCAGTTTGTGCCTCAAGTGTTTAAGCAAATGGCACTGTCTAAAAATGTCTAGACATGTCCTAAATACTATGAATCATTGGCATTTGCATTTTCTTTTTTTAACCAATGGCGATTGTTACTTAATGCTACATGAGAATAAATTAATATCTGAACAATCTCACTCCAGATAATAACACTGTGCTTCCCACCATGATTGGTATAGCAATATTTATGCCAAAATAACTGGTTTCTTAATTTATGTTATTATTACACATTACTGTCTACAATAACTTACATGACCATTAACTTTATACTTTCAAATGAAGTGCTAACTTCAGATTCAAGATGAAACATTGAAAAAATTTGAAATATTGAATTGAAAATAATGAAATGAAAATAAAGTATTCTGCTGTGCTGTGACAGTTTGACATTAATGCAAATTCTTGGCCACGTCATACGCTGTTATGATATAACACGGAATATTTTCCTCTCATCCTGAAAAAGTTTTTCTGATTATTCTTAAATGTTTCTTTAGAATTAAAATGTATTTTAACTTTGTATAGCTTGAAGAAAACATTTAAAATAATAAAAAAACTTGAAAGAAAAATGAAATGGTCTATTCTTCCTTCTTTGGCCTTGATGTTGCAGAGATCTCTAAAACTAGGCAAATATATTGTACTTCTGAAAAATTCTCTAAATTAAAACTCTGTTGTGCTTTTCTGAAATATCTTAAGATCCATGTTGATATAAAACATATTAAAGGTCTAGGATATTTTTAATAAACATTGTAATAAAGTTTGCTTTTCTCTCTACATACATATGGTTTTTCCTTCTCAGAAAATTATAGCAATATAAAGTAAAGGAATAAAATATACATGACTAAAATAAAATAGCATCGTTAGTCAACACCATTACAAAAATAAGTTTGACAATTTTTAAGAGATTAAATTAGTAGTCCAAACTCTTAATTTTATTGATTTTAATTAAGATAAAGTTTTGATTAGGTAATTTACTCTTAAAAATTTCCATCATTTGAAGAGTTTTGAATAATGGGATGGACTGTGTATGTTATCATTTGTGTACAATTTTAAAAACCTGCCTCGTTCAAGAGTTTCATAAAGCCTACGAAAGTAATTCTGATATTTATTGTTTACTGCACATACTTGCAGGTGCAATAGCTTTGAATATGATTTATGATGCAGTAGGTTCATTGTATCCCTGCCAAAGAAACAGTGCAGGCTTCAGAACTCAGTTCAAGCCAAAAGTAAATCATAATGAGTAGGCACTGAGTGAGAAATAGCAAATTTTGCAACTATATAATTAGTGGTATGGCTTCTATCATAGCTAATCAATTTACTCTTTTTATTTGCTAAGTAGTGGGAAAACTAACATTATTATGAAAAAAAGTAGAAAACCAAAGCTAAGCCATTACTTTTATTCGTTTCTTATCTGTATTTTAAGGAAGATGGCTACTATATTTGTTTTTGTTCTTGTTTTTTTATCATGATTCATGTAATGATTATAATACCATTTGGTTAATCAAATCAAACATGTATTTATAGACAATGAGTTAAGGCTGCCCATGTGAAGTGGTGTAATTATTAAAATGTTTCTAATTGTTTCCTATGTAATACTTCTAAAAATTAAGAACTATGACTACTTAAACTGAATGAATTAGCACTTAATTGTTACTGAAAATGCCTCTGCGGAATCTTTGATATGAATGAGTTGTTGAAAAGTAGGCTGGAATCAACTGTGCCCTCACCAGCAGGTGTCAGGATAATCAACAGAGATCTTTTAAAGGAAAGATGGAAGAATAAAAGAAGTAAACTTGTAAATGCTAATTTGCGTACCCACATAAAGTGACTTTCTACTTTCTATGAAACTAATATTATTAGTTTTCAGTGATCCCCTGAGAAATAGATAGAGGGCAAGTTGTACGGACCTACTGCTTTCATCACAGGATTTTAACTTGAAAACAGAGTTGCTCTTACTGCCACAGACAACCAAGCACACACTTAGCTTGAACAATTATTTTTCGGGGGTCTTCTGAGTACCTTCCACGAAAATACACAGAGATCTATGACAAACAATTATTACTGAAATTTCTGCCATACTTTCTATGCACTCTTCATACCAACTGTAAGTTTCGTAAATAGAAATTCGGTTATGTTGATTTACATGGATATATACATTCAACTATTTATTAATGTTTGTACACAGCTACCACACTGGAAATAGACGAGTGCTATACTTACCCTTTTTATCATTATGGTAAAGTGTATGTTTCCTAGAACTTGCAAGTTTCTATGTAACACAAGTCATGTGACCAAAGGAGAGTAAATGTCATGATAAATAAAGCTTTTTCACAGCTCATTTCAGCCAGTTATTAATCCTCATATATGTGTCTATTATGTATCAATAACTA